ATTTTTGCTTTTACGTACAATCTTGTTGGTTGGCCTTGCTGCTAGTCTTTTGTGGATTTAAGCTAGGGTCTTGGACCAATTGCTTTCTTCCTTTTTGTTGGTGCGAGAGGAGGTTCTTACCCAGACTCTAATGCCTTTGTTCATTTGTCGGAGCAAGAAGTCTCCTAGAGTCTAGCTGGCTTAGTTGTTCAGGGCACTTTGTAGTGTTTTTCCTCTTCAACAGTTTGGTTGCTTGTTTGGCTAGTTAGCCTTCAAATTTGCACATTATCTGAAGTTATAAATTCTGCCGTTTCAAAAAACAAAAAGATTGTGAATATGAGAATGTGAACAAAATAATTCACGTCATGAGAAATTTTTCATTCTGTGAAGTCTTCTGTCTATATAGGACAGCTCGGGATAAGTCTACCCAATGATCTCAACATATTGTGCATTTTTTGAGTTTTCTGTGGGCTTATATTTTAATCATTATTTATTATTTTAATTAAAATATATTATGTCATGTTATTTGATTTATGATTTAATATAATATATGTTGCTTTTAGTTACTAAGGGGGTGTATTCAATTAGGATTTTTAAGGACTTTTTAAGACTTTAGAAATTCCAGTGTATTCAATTTAAATTTATAGAAAAATTGCACCATTCGTCCATTAACTTTACCCTTGTTGCACTTTCGTCCTTTAATTGTTTTCGGTTTACAATTGATACATTAACTCTTTTTTTTTGGCAATTTTGGTCCAAAATGACATTCCGGTGACCATTTTCGCCGGAATAGCTGATGTGGCGCCCGGAGTAGCTGATGTAACGCTTAGTCAGCTCGGAATTTCTTGCCCTGGCGTGATGTGGCACTAGGTGGACCCACCTGTGTTGACACATTGCAAAAAATAATATTAAAAAATCAGAAAAAAATATATAAATCCACATGTATGTGGATTATTTCATTAAACAAAATAAAAAAGAAAAAAGAAAAACGATTTGGGGATAAGTCATCGGGCACAACAGAAGGGGAATGAACAAAGAGAAAGCTCGACAGAACAGTGAAAAGCGGGGCACGAAGAACATTGGTCCCATATTCCATCGCCATACGCGGCCGAAGCTCCAACGAGATGAGTTCCAGCTTACCAAAACCTAATTTCCCAATTGACAGAGCCCAAATTCGTTGCGAAATCGTGTTTACTTTGTTAAAATGGCATGAAACTATAATTTGAGAAGCAAAAGGATCGGTGGCCCCTTTCCTTCTAGAACATCGCTAAAACCTGGGGCAATGATCTGAGCTATGGGGGGGCCTGGTGCACCATCACTGAGATATACCTCCTGGTTGTTCAACGAGAAACTTCGTGATATTTGGAATTTTGTGATTGAAATTTCTAGGGTTCAATTTGGTGTCAAATTTCTGGAGAAGCAAAAGGATCGTTTTTTTTTTTTTTTTTTGTTTTTTTTTTTATAATTTTTTAATATTATTTTTTGCAATGTGTCAAAACAAGTGGCCCACCTAGTGCCACAACACGCTGGGACAAGAAATTCCGAGCTGACTAAGCGCCACATCAACTACTCCGGGTGCCACATCAGCTACTCCGGCGAAAATGGTCACCGGAATGTATTTGGACCAAAATTGAAAAAAAAAAGAGTTAATGTACCAATTGTAAACCGGAAAGAATTAAAGGACAAAAGTGCAACAATGGCTAAGTTAGTGGACGAATGGTGCAATTTTTCCTAAATTTCTTAAGACTTTTTAAAACTTTTAAAAATCCTGGGGTATTCAATTGAGATTTTTAAAAGTCTTACAAAATCATGAGGTATTTAATTTATTTGACACTAGGATTTATTAAGACTTTTTAAGATTTGGTGGGATTTCTAAATAAAAAACTTTATACGAAATCCCACCCCAATCCTACCTCCAGACTTGAGATTTTATAGAATTTTTTTCAAATATGAAAATCCTAAAAAATCTCAAATATTAAAAAGTCTTATTAAAATGTCACTTAAATTCCCAATTGAATACATCCCTAAAATAGAAAAAAATCATATAGTCATCATATATATAATGATAATATTTTATTTAATATGGTAGTATATAATAAGATGTATATTTTATAGTGATAATATAGACATCTATAATCCCCCCTATATATTAATACAGAATGCGCTGAGCCTACGTGGCTGCTTTTGGTGCTTCAGAATCCTATGTGGCAAAATTACATGCTTCGTTATTAGGCATGGGTAAATTTTAATTTAATTCCAAACAAAAAATAATTAGGTTCGGATTACCATAAATATGTTGATTATTTATGGTCATGTTACATGTATTAATTGTATTTTAATATCATTCCTTATTATAACTATTGAATTGTATATATATTTTAAAAGTTAATAACTTTTGTATTTTTTATTAGTTTTACATATGTAATATATCAAATTAATCTTCTTTTGATAAGTTTCGATTTAACATCCATATTGTATGTATAAAAAAATAATTTATATTTATCTTTATAACAATAATAAAATTATTTTTATTATGAATTAGAAAAATAAAATTATTTATCAACTAATATATTTATATTTCAAGTAGTTATATGATATAAGTTATAAAAACTAATATAATATAACACATGTAAGTCATAAGTAACACATATCATTATAAAATATATAGTAATATATTTTTTTTTGTAAAAAAGTAAACTAAATTTAATATAATTTTCTCATTAATTTTAAAATTTAAGAATAATTTTTTAACAAGCACCCGTGTAATACACGGGTATTGTACTAGTTGATCTATGTAGCAAAATATATATTAATATATTTTATTTAATGTGTATTACTCGTAAATATATCATGATAATCTATGGTATTGGTACATTGTAATGTTATGTATTATAGCAATGATAACACATGTTTGTAAATGAATTGATCTCCTAAGAAGAATGTTATAAGCCCTCCTAGAAATTATCAATAATTTAGGACTATAAAAACATTTTAGGCTCTCCTAGAAAATATTAATTTAGGCGGCGGGGGTCATGGTTCAATCGAGCCCGTCTAGTGGCGTTAGACGGGTTTGGGCCGAGGTCGGTGTGGGGGAGGTTTTTTTTCCTCTCAGTTGGTGATGGGTCAATTCTGGGATTGATACGGGGCTCGATGTTGGCTACTCTATAGGCATTTAGGCAGTTTCGGTAGTGGTACTTCAGGCTTGGTATCCTTCTTGTGTCGATTGTTTCGCTGCTGGCTGAGTCTGTTCGATTGCTGGGGAAGGGCTTTTTGTGTTTGTTTAGTTTTTTCTGTTTCGTGTTTGTGTTGTCTAGGTTTGGTTCATTTGGTCTCAGTGTGCCCGAGTGTCGACTTATTATCCTGTTGGGATCAGACACTCGGGTATTATCTCGTTAGGATCTTTTTAGTTGTCTTAGTTGTTTTGTGTAGTCGCGAGTTCGTCATTCTAACGTTGCTAGCCGGTTCAAGGCGATCTCCGGATCTGCCTCCCAGTATTATAGCCTCTGATTGTACTATTCAACTTTTGGCTGCTTTATTTTCGCACTTTGTGCGCTTTGATTAGTATAATTCCTCTATCGTTAAAAAAAAAAAAAAATTATCATGTGTCTACCAACAAATCAATTTATAAAAGTGAGATTTGAGTTTGTTGAATAAATTAATATATTTTCACCAATTACAAACAAAAATATTTAAATGCTGATATAATATTTAAATTAATAAATTTTCACCAATTACAAACAAAAATATTTAAATGTTTGCTATAATATATATGCACACTAGGTATCTATTAAGAACATAAAAACCAACACTACAATAAAATGATGAAATTCCAATGGAAATATATTTTAAAGAATTATTTCAGCGGCAATTCCAACGGATATTTCAATACTATTATTTCCGTTGGAATTTTTCAATGGATTCCAACGGAAATTCTAATGAAAATATTCTGTTGGAATGGGTTTTCCATTGGAATTTCCGTTGGATTTTGACGATTCCAACGGTGGATTTTTCAAGGGGGGTGGAAAAAAAAATTCCAACGGAATTTGCATATTCCAACGAAAATTCCTACGGTAAAAAGCCGTTGGAATCATCAAATTCCATCTAAAATTCCAATGAAAAACACATTCCAACGAAATATTTCCGTTGGAATTTCTGTTGGAACTATTCCAACGGAAGCTATTCTATTGGAATATCCGTTGGAATTTCCGTTGGAATATACAATAGGATTTTCCGTTGGTATATAACATTTATTTTGTAGTGCAACATATTGAAAAAATAAATTGGGCACTAATACTTTTCACCAATTTTTAAAATAAATGTTTAATACATATAATAAAAATAAATAAACAGCCAATCTTGTATATCACTACCCAATTTCTAGTTTAAAGATTACAATTTTTATATATATTCCTACATATTTGTGCTTTTACATTTTTTGTATTTATTTTATTAATTAATTATTCCACTTTTTCTATTATAATGAACCACATCATAGTCCAAGTTGTACATACAAAAAAAAAAAAATAAAAAATCAAAAAAAAATGAAGGATATCTCTATTAATTGTTAGTTTTATTTTGTTGATACCTTTGATTCATTCTCATTTTTTATCAGATAACTCACATCATACCTCACATATGAATTGAAGATATGCTCTAATATCTGCTTGGACAGAAATTCACCCTACTTTTTGTTTAATGTTTGCTGATTATATATGAAAACCAAGAGTTGGAAATCTTTGAAGGCCTTTGTGACATACATAATCGGTCTAATGTCTATAACCTCTTCATTCATTGCTTTCAGTTCAATTTTTGTATAGTACCTTTTTATTTGGAAGTTCATTAAAACAACAACGTTTTTGGTATCAAGGAAACTAAGCCACAGAGACAGCAAGCGGGCTGACCACATCATGAACGCCGTCGGACCACTTGAGCCGTCCGAAGCCATACTGTCCTTTCTCAATCTTCCCCGAAAACGAACAATTCATCTTCACCGTGACAGTGAAATTTTTCTTCTCACGTTCACGACCGAAATAAAGTACAGCCGGGGTTATTTTCACGGTGATCCACGGTGGAGATTGGACGCTCGAATAATAAACGACCCCACGACAGCCAACGTTGGTGACGGTCCTACGGACTGTGACGGTGCCTCTCAGTTTGGGTATTGCGATAGACGGGTAGTTTAGATTACCCGGAGATGGTGGGTTTTCGGGGCATTTAAAGGAACCAGTGAGATTGTACTCCCCGATGCTGCAGAGGAAGACGAGATAGTCCGTGTGAGAGGCGTCGTAGACGAGTCCCGGGTCGACTGCCTTTGTTGGGTTGAAAAAACCCGACCCGAGCACAAACGGGGTGGCCGGGGCGTCGGTGTGATCCGTGATGGGGTTACCCTCGTTGTTTATTAGTGTCGCTGTAATATGGAACAAATTGGGTATATGAATGACACGTCTCCATGATGATGTCGTCATAAGTAAAAAAAAAAGAATATATATATAAACGTTTATATATAGATTTAGTGATTGATTATAACAGGGTATTTGTAGTTACCAGATGTCATGAGAGCAGATCGTAGGGCAGAGGGGCTCCAATCAGGATGCACAGCCTTGAGAAGAGCCAAGGCACCGGCCACGTGTGGGCACGACATTGACGTGCCTGATATCATCCAGTATTTCTCCAAGATATCATCACTATCCGGACCCAGCGGCGATCCTTCTTTAAAAGCTGCTAATATACGGTCACCCGGAGCCGTGATATCTGGCTATATAACCAAGATTAATTTCAACACAATAACTTCAGCAGCCTGACGGTTAGACGGATTAACATTGGCGTGCTTTCAGAACAAAAATGCATATATACAAGATTGATTATTATTACTACCTTGAGAATGTCAGGAGATATTTTGCTGGGCCCTCTGGCCGAAAACGATAAAGCTATAGGTGCTGGTTTGACGCCTAAAACTGTCTTGGCTGGCACGATATATGCCGTTGGTCTTTTTGTAGATTTAATGTATTCCAAGATTTGGAGGCCATTTGCGTAGTCGACGTTTGTGGCGGGAAGGTCATGTTCCTGGGGAGTTATACTTAAGGTGTTCCCTTCGGCTTTCTTACTTGCGACGATGACACCATAACCGCCGGCTCTTTTTACCTCATCACCTTTCATATAGTCATAATTAACATCGCTTTCTGCGAAACACAATACGATTTTTCCCTTGGCCTTCTTGGGAGAGAGGGATCCTTTTACACATTCCCTGCACCATAGTTTTTCAAAAAAAAAAAAAAAAAAAAAATGTGTCAAACTTCCATTTATAAAATGACAGTAATTTTATATATCTATATCTATATATATATAATAAGATTTATCATTTTTCAAAAATGGCAGGTCAACCTTGGTCAAATTTTAATTAGAATACTTACCATTTTTAGTAACTTTGTTTATTTTTTATTTTCCAAATTCAAAAAAATCGAACCCTTAAATTAGGGGATTTGTTAATGGCCTTAAATTAGGGAATTAAGTGTCTACCAAATCATATTCAGTATTCTTTATTTTTTTTGCAGATTTTTTCCTTAAAAAACGTAGTATTTCAAAACTAACATTATCTCATTTTATGTACTCCACTTAAACTAACAAAATAGAGTATCTACTATTAATCTTATTCAATTCTACTTAAATCATTGATTCAATTTATTAAATATTTTTTTGGAACGAATCAATATTTTTAATTTTTTTTTTTTTTTTGAAACGATACAGAAGATATCTCAATTAGTTGTTAGAGTTAAACTTTCATTATTTTTATTTAGATTTAATATTTTATTTTAATTTGTTTTAGTCTAGATAAACACATGTATTTGGATAACTTATGTATGTATATATATATATATAAAAGTTTGGCATTTACTTAATATAGATATAATAATTCCTATCAAATTATTTGAAAACAATTATGTATCAATAAATTTATTTAAAAATAGATGACAACAATTTTTGGTATTACATTTTCAACAATAAATCTCAAACTATGAAATTATTCGTTTACATTAATATCCTAAATTAAATATTTGGAATATTTTAATCACATATAAAATCATCATGATGTTTAAAAAGTTTAAATTTATCATTTCTCATTAAGAAATAAATTAATAGTAGAAAATAAATCAATTAAGAATTAAGTAATGGCAAATGTTATCTTTTCACAATTAATTTATTTACATATTACTTTTTATAATAAGTACTTATGTATTATATAAGCAAAAAGATTAGTATGTTTAAAACATAATAATTGATATGTGAAATGTCTCTACTATGTAGTAACTCATGTTGGTATTGAGTTATCGCGACAATTGAAAAAGCAATTGATTAGTTTTAAATTTTTAAAATATTTTTTTTTTTTTATAAATATGCATAAAGTAAGAAACAAATGACATATCGTTATATATATATATATATATATATATTATATATATATATATAATTTACAATCTTAATATATAGTCATTTGGTATAAATTACATTTACTACATGAATCATAAAATATTTTTTATTTCCCGGGTGACCTATTTATGGGTCAATGACACAATTGAACCAAGTGACCAAATAGGCCAGTTTGACTATACCAAATTGATTATTAAACTAAATTTAATATTAAAAATATTTCATTACAATAAATGGAATGTAGTTTATACTGCAAATAATCATATTAAGAATGTCTTTATGTAAACATGTTCAAGGATTTATGAACACTTATATGTTATTTTATTAATATTTATGTGAACAAAGCGTATTGCATACAACTTTATTAATGTACGTTAAATCCAAAGTTCTCAGGAAATGACCGTTTTAAACCGATCAAGTTATTTCTTCAATGATTTATTGGTTGCATTAGAATTTTTTAATATATATATATATATATATAGTAATTTTAGTAATAAATTTATTAAAAATATTAACTAAACATATGAACAATTTATATTTCAATCTTTAAACTAAATGATAAATAATCTATAAATATCCATTTTTTTATTAAACATGTACTTTTATTTATATTAAAAATATTTTTAAACGTAACAAAAATTATCTAAAAAATCGTTCTGATACTAACAGTCTGACCGATTGGTGTTGACCAGTTCTCTTGTAAATATTTTATTCAAACGAACCGAACTGGTCGATAAATCGGTTCTCGGTCCATACGGCGAGACTATTCGATCCGGTCCAGTTTTGAGAACAATAGGTAAAATCATGATTAATGTTATTTATAAATTTAATTTCTAATATAATCATAATATCCCGTGCATTGCACGGGCCACGTACTAATACCATACTTATAATAATATATTTTCAACAAAATTTCTAATATGACCGCGTCATGACGTGTGGTAAAAGCTAAAATAAGAAATACTTCACCTGGTTATGTTTTTGTCTACGCCGGAGTTGATCACTTGATCCGCTGAAACTAATGGATAATAAAGCTTTTTTTTCAACTTATATGGAGTTATTGTCTGACCCTATTAGCCAAAAAAAAAAAAAATCTATTTCTATTCAAATTCCACTTCTACTTTTCAATTGTTAAAGATCATCAGATAAAAGTAGTTATATATATATAAATCCGACGGTAAAATCTCCGTTCAACTAACTAATAATATTAAGATCGGATTACCGGGATTG